AATATTGCGTGAAAAGAGCAACCATTGACGGACCAACTCAATACGCACTAGATAATCTGTGGATATGTGCAAAGCTCGGTGATGAGCAACATCGAGATTCTACTTATTGTACTCCGGTATTTTTCCTTTTTAATAAATGCATCATGCTGGTCACCGCGTTTCCAACTCTCACGTTATTGTGTGAATCGTCAACAATACAGTCAGTGTTTACTTCAGAAATCCATGACAATAAGTGCAGTAATAATAGCAATAGCAATATCAACATTTCTTTGTTAATCCAAAACGTTTCACAAACACTTAATCTGACGAATCGATTAAGCCTTCTACATACCAGCTCTAGGTGAAGCAAAGTCGTTATCCTCTGCGACCATTCCTCCATGAGTTTCGGGAATGTCCACGCTCACCACCTCGGGAGCCTCCTAGTTCTGGTGGAACAGTTACATCAATCACATCTTTTGGATCGGGGCATTCTACGTCATCATCACCGTCATCATATTGCATAGGGTCATAATCGTAATCGTCATCTTCTGTGTTGGTATCTTGACGACCAAGCGGATTCCGTCCACCGTTTCTGCCGAATGGTCCTCCCATGTTAGAGCCTTGGCCTCCGAAAGGTCCGAAGGACTTTCGTCCACCATTCGACCATGGTCCACCAAAGCCATTCTGAGGATATCCACCATTTCCAAAGTTCGGGCCTCCGAACATACCCCGATATATGGAAGGCGCATCATTTGGAGCTCTCCGCTTGTTTCTCTCAGCTTGTCCCAGCGACTCCTGAAACATGAAGAACCAATCCTAGTTGGAGTTCTATATAACAGCGATCCCAAAATGAGTTCTTTCAAGCAGGTATTCAAAATGCTTTATCGGTGGTCTGATCAAAAGGTTTTTATACACTCTTCATATGTTTAGCATTTTCGTAGGTCTGGGAAAATGGATTTATCGTGAGCCACTCACCTGACTTATTCTCGAATCACTGAATTTCACACCAAACATTGCCCGCATCTAGTTTTAGGTCTCAACTGTCCAGTTCTCTTTGATTCGCTGCGTCGCATCAATTACGGATTTTTTTTCGAGCGTGTTAGGACCCCCTCGAAGCAGCAGTTTAATCATTGGGGCTGAGTAAGCAGTAAAACATCCGCCAGCTTTTCCTCAAAGACAGTCCCAGCGTTCGAGCAGATCATAGGCGTCGTTTTTCTAGAAGTAGTCTGATTCTCAATCTCTTGGATAATCCCCACTTCCGCGGCTTCATAACAAGTAATAAAGGCGCTGCGGCCCTCATAAGTGCATTTCTGACGCCTCCCCAGTGGTCCCCTTCACCGAAACGCCAAAGGCAATTTTTGACACAAGTCCACTTTCCACACGTTTTCCGTTTTCTTTTATTATTTGATGGCATAGTATTGAATGACGCGGAGAAACCGTTATTGAGAAAGAGGTGGCAGGACATAGCTTGCTTAAAACTCGTCCAGAGGGTCCACCACATCTTGGGTGCTCACCACGATTTTTCCGCATTTTTGTTCACTAGAGAGTTATTTTGCCGAATATGGGTTTGTAAGTGAGCGCCACTATCCACAATATAAACCGCCGGGTATGTCTTTGAGTATCAGCCCACGTTGCTCCCCCCTCCCAATTGCCATATGTTTTTATTGCTTGTGTTTACTATGAACATGACTGTCCGGTAGCATAGAGCAAATTTGATTTTACTGCTTAGGAAGTTTGAAACCACTCAAAATGCATCACATAAGCTTTCATAACATACCGGCCTAGGAAACGCTGCCACTGAGAGAGTCACGGCAAGGAATATGAATAGATACATCTGAAAACTCATGATTCTTTACAACATACATCCCGATTTTTAGAGAAAAAAATAAGAAGTAAGGAAGTATAGTGGCAGCAAGCTCCCGAGTAAAGAACAGTCTGCTTAAAACACTTTTTGAATTAGTAGAGCACGAATACGGAGGTGAAGCCATTTCTACCTGTAGGAGCTTGGAGAGGATTTTATACTGGCATAAAGGTTCCTCGAATCAATCACATCATTAATGTGTACCATTCCACCCACGTGCTATTCAAAAATCCCATCGTAATCTCTTTGTCATGAGGGCACATAGCGTTGTTAAAGTGCAGTGGAAAAGGCCAAAACGGTATCAAAATTGGTAAGTCAGCAAATCATGTGACCCATTGTTTTTCATTATGATCCCTTGAATGAATCCTCTCTATTATGTGAGTCATACCAAATTATAATCCTTGTCCGTATATTAACAGAAGTCATGAATCATTTCGCAATCTCTGAAACAACTGCACTCATGAGTTAAAGGCACGGTTCGAGGTTGAGAACGCAGGTAATGATGTCGATATAAGGATCGGACGTTGTCAAGTGGCTCGTCTATACGGGGAAAGGTTGAGAAATAGAATTGCATGTGCTAGTTGACTTGCTCATGGAGAGAAAAATAAAAGAAGCCGTCAAAAACCCCGTAGAAAGGCCGTATTTGTGCCTTTTGTGAGAAAAAAATTGATGCGGATGCCGGACGAAAAGCCAGACAAAGGAGCGAGAGGGCATACAAACGAAGGAGGAGGCAGGTGAAGCATCTATAACGTGGGCGAGTCACTTCAGCAACCTTGCGTGTTAATGCTACGGCTTTATCACTTTATGACGTGAAACCAGTACAGGAATACTCGTTGCAGTACACAGTACCTCTCCAGATGGTGGGTTTAGACAGCTGTAACTGCTCGTGGGCTCTGCCTTTATATTGTATGACCTCTCAAACCTCGAAAAACCCGTACAAGCAAAAGGGGTCAAAAAGTATTGGGCTCAGTCTAGTCGGCTGATTCTTTGTGAATGGAACCCTATGATTCCACAAGGCAATGGAGAATCCATTTCATGCTACTTGTCCGGTAGCATCGCTTTTGGCTGGAAGGCGGACGATGAAAGCGGAGCATGGAGGTGAAGTCACTGGAAAAAGTGAGCATCACTGAGGGGATTTTGCGCATTAACTCCATTATCCTTCAACTTTCCTCCGCGAAACTGGCACAAGGTTTCCGTTGCGGACTACATTACCCTTCCCACGCAATCTTTTGCATTTTCGTAAGGTCGTCGCTTATCGTTCCTTCACCAGTTTTTATACGGAGCTATCTCTCACCTATTTTCAAGCGGCACGATGAATCCCCAAAACGTGTGGGATTCATATGCCTAGGAGGACAGAATTCGGCGCTCCTGTGCAGGCGCTACACAGTATCTTTTCTAATGAAGACAAAACTCGCCCAAAATTGTTTTCTGAGTCGTTAGAGCGTAGGCTTTCGTACCAAGTTTTTGACCATTTCACTTCTCTTTTTCGCCTACCTAGCACTCCTGCCACCATTTTAGACCGATTACCAAATTATTGTGCCATGCTTTCAATCTGTATAAATGTCTACCCCATTTCACAGCTTCATACAGCTGCGCGTAGCGGTCAGAGAGCCTCCTTGTCATTCATATCGAGATAGGGGCAAATGTATCGACTTCTTGAGCATCTAACTCTTGAGGCAGCGTACAGATTTCGCGACGGCAGCGCTTCGGCTGAGCACCCGGTCTTAGTAGCGCCGGTCGCAGTGCGGTTTCGTCATTGCGGCGCGCTATCCTTCGGTACTGGGTGTAATGACTTTGTATGCGTCAAACTTCCCACACTCAACGGATCAAGTGGATAGGCAGCTAGTCAGTGAGTAATACGAAGAGAGGGAGATTGTTACACCGTCCCGGTTGATAGCAAACAATAAACTTCACTCGATGTTCATACTACAAGAAAAAGGTATTCATGGAATACGGGATCGACTCGTGTTGGTCTTTTCAGTCATAAAAGCACTGCACGGCTATTTGTGTTGGCCAGTGGTTCACTGAAAGGTTCATCCCCTTAAGCCTTCCAGGTGTCGCGTTTGAACAGCATCCAAACAAGAGCTTCAAGAGAGCCCATAGAAATCATTACAAGAAAACACTAGAAACTGCGCCATGCGTTAGCAGTAAGCTTAGGATCAGATATAGAAGCTGGCGAAGCGTTCTCTACGGAATGGTTCCTTTTGAAGCACAACTCATTCAGGTACCATTTGAACATGTCGCCACCCGTCGTCGGAAGAATGCAACTCACTGTAGAAAATTTATATATGTATTACCCACGAGAATTGGGGAAATCGATCTTCGGAAGAATCGTCGAGATGGCGACAACTTATCATGATGTGCGGTTCTTGTACACTCAGATTTCGTGAACATTTATTTCAAAACTTCATAACAGCGCCATTAAACAAAGGGCTTTTTGTAGCGAGCTTCTTCATGTTGAGTTGTTGGGTGAGTTTAATTGCTGAATGGGCCTTCAGCACGCATCTAAATAGTGAGTAAATAGTAAATAGTCAATTAGCTGGATTGAAAAAATGGCGCCTGTCTTACCTCATGCACTGAATCCGAGTTTTTTTTCATCGCGTTTACGCCTGTCTGCCCGTCATTCCTTTTCTTTTGTATTTCTCGAATGGTCTCGCTTGAGGGGGAGGTTCATCCCCTTGCATTTCAACACGTCTGAACAACGGTCTGAAAGGCGGTAATCATTGCAGAATGTCTGTTCAGTGTTCATGCGTGCTATTTCTTCAAACGACAGGCTCTCATGAGTCTCTTTCCGGACTCCATTATCTCTGCCACCATCTGAACAGTATTCAAATGAATGGTATCGGAGTAACGGGAACTTTACATCTTACCCCTTCCAGTCTGCGGAATTCTTCTTCTGCGAGATCTTCTGCATTGTCATAGTCTATTGATGAGATATCTGCAGTACTTTCTGGAGGAACATTTTCATCATTCAGCGACGCGGAACTTTCTCTCTCGACACACTTGTCGAATAAGAAAACTTCATAACAACGAAAACAAACATGCATTGTGGCAACTGTTCCTCTCCCGCTACCATTAGATATTGCAAAAAAAACTCGCGTTAACCTTGCAAATTCAGAATTAACAACTTAATTTTGACATAAAAATTTTGAACTGGTTTGGTTATCCAGCGACGAATACCACTTGCTCACATCGTTTTATGCACTACCCACCACTAATGTATTGCTTCCCTGAATGGATTAAGACTTGCCACCCCAATCAAACGCTTCGTTTCATCTGCCAAAGCAGCAGACCGATTTGAAATAAGAAATGAATGCAATAAGAATGAATAACAATGAAACAATACTTGCTGCCCGGCTGTGCTGAAAAGAACACCACTCTGTTGATAAGAATTTGAACCACTCCATCATTGCGAATAACGAAAGTAAAACCTTAAAGGCATTAGCATGGTTTCCTACTTAGCCTAAAATGCTAGTAGGGCGCTGTATAGTGGGGAAATGGCGAAAGAACGGAGTGAAACGGTCAAAATCCGGCGAAGAAAAAGCCTCCGTTCTCAGTGACTTGTAAATCGATTTCGGACGAGTTTCCCGTACGCATCTTGCCAATCACCGCTACCGAAGATAGGCTGCATATGTGTACCATCATATGCCATGCGCATCACCGACCGCCTTCTTACCAATTCCTTGCTTCATTAATTTGCTCAGAAAGATGGAATACGAGCTTAGAAAACGTCGTCGTTTTTGTGGGCGCGGCGGGCAAGAAAGGCGTTTGGACGTGAAAGCTGTTGCTCAAAGCGTGTATAGGGGTGACCTCCTCCTTGGAAAAAGCTTCGACGCAGGCCTGTCCTAGGTTAGCGGAATTCTGTTGAAGCAGTTGTTACAAAATCACTACACGTGTATTGCAATCTATCGTGCCAACTGCCTTCAAAATCACTCAATGGACATGCCGCGTTTGATCATACGGGCCATTAGGGTGACGAAATACATCGGCATTATTCATGTCGGCCTTTCTGCAAAGGTGCAGTGCGTTCGCAGATCTTACTCATTGCTGACGGCTATTAGTAATGATGCCCTGGTGTAGAAACCGCGCCGCGACCGCCGGTTTGCAAGAGCCGGATGCTCAAGTGCGATTTTGTCGTTTACCTTAACGTCCTTCGGCCGCGCTTTTCGGCGCGATCGATGCGCATGCTTTCGACTGCATCGATCGCGTCGAAGCGCTGCCGCCACGAAGTCTGAACGCTGCCTAAGCTATTCTGAGTCCTAATCAGCACACCAAACGGCCTATTCTTCCTTTGATAACATCGCTGATCCTGAGCGCTTTTTTTGTTGCGCGCCGTCTTCATATGCTCACCCCTGTGTGTGGAAGGATTGCATCCATTTCTGACCCTTCTTTTTGCGAGAATCCTTGCTGTGCTTTTGTTCTGTAAACGTACGGCTACTTCCTCCGTCACCTACCGGTATCCCACACTTTCCCCCACGCCCCTGCCAGGCTGCTTAGGTCCAGACATGCGTAGCAGCCTGCAGTGACTCGGAGGTACTCACTGTTCACCTACCAAAAAATGGCCGCGTTGAGCCTCTCACTGTCCAAGAACACTTTGGTCACTGAGCAGTTTCACTAATCAAAGGCGAACAATTGGAATTATCTCCTTGCATAACATCTGGACCATCCGGCTATGTGCAGGGTCACCATTTTGTTGTTAGCACCATTTCTATTGTCCTTGACTGGAAGCAGTGTTTTACCTTTTAGAATGCCCAAGTAATTATTCTCGTATAGTATTATCTCAGCGCGCATCATACGGTGTTTTTCCTCTGTCTAAAACTCCTTCATGGGAAGGAGGAATGTGTCGCACTCACCTTTAGATGATAGTGGAGGATGTTTGTAAGTTAGAAGCGACACAGCGAATGTAGTTCATTTTTGGGTTTTTCATATGTAATATGTTCCAGCTCACACTTTACAAAACAAACATAACATGTATACGGCGAGAACCGAGATTAAAGGGGAAAACCTACAGATTACACTGCATGGCCAATGCGGCTCCAGCACACCAGATCAAAACTTCTTATGCGAAGAAGTGTTGGGTGAGCTTCTGTGGGTAAAAGCTCCGCTTCGAGTCATCTTGCCGAAATGGAAAATCCGACAAGACTGTCTGCTCCTGAATAAATAGCCAGCGGATAAAATCTCTGCCTCCGACCAGTCCCTCCTTTGGAATGCGGCACGCGTTCCACATCTTGAACCATAGAGTTCACTGAATGTGATATGGCCTATACAGTGAGTTGGCGGCGGCAGCGATGTGCCAACTTAGTATAGTCTATCCTGGCTGAACGGCGACCAGTTCCACTGTCCTTGAAAGTGAAGATGTTGAATGGCCAGTATTAAGGTGTGTGACTCCTACGAACGGTTACTTCTGTGATCGAAAGGATTCGTAACACAACAGTTTATTGGGAAACAACGAACACTTATACTACAAAGGAAAAACAAATCACTAGCGCTTGATTCGCCAAGATTCGTCTTGGCCTCGACCTGAAATGGAAAGAGGATAGGGTACTTACCGGGGTCGACGGTGACTGGGAATGGCGAGGCGGGTAGGCCACCAGCGGAGAGCGGACACACACGAAGAAGTGAAACTCACTCCCCACGGCCCTAGTCTCTCTATATCATTATACGATACGAGGACGACTTACGATAGCCTTATCTGCTTCTACCCGTTCTTCTGAGCATGCCTCTTGTTGAGTGGCTGGTGGGTGTTTGCACGCCGGCATCTCCTCTTTAACAGGCCGGTATTATTTCACTATTATTTGATTTTCCCAAGATTGCTACCTAAACGTTAAGGGCTTGTCAAAGACCGCCACCGGGACTCTGCGAAGCGGATATGAGCCTCTCAGTCCTGATCGCATTGCTTCTTAAATAACCGTCCGCGATCAGTATAGAAGTTTTGAAAACTATGGTATCGAGCGAGTAGCTGTATTGTAATTTGCGACGAACAGCATGTACCGGTTTTGCGGCAAAAAATGTGGAGGCGCCGCTATAACGCCAATAAAGCGCCAGGTTGAAGCCTCTTTTTTCTAGTTACCCCGCCTCCTATACCCCTTCCTTCAAGGGACGCACTTTCACGTGAAAAACAACGGTGCAGGACCAAAAAACAAGGAAATTCGCTTATACGTCGCTGATTTATCGTGGAATCAGCTGTGCGGATGGGGGTGTAATGTTGAAGGGAGTGAATTAGGACGTACAAGATGGGATCCAAATGGAGATCTATCTAGGGCAGTTGCCATGTTTTTTTCTGCTTTTCTCACTATCGAGTTACTCTGCACCTTGTCGCCTATATGCAAATCCCTACTGCAACATCTGTGATGGCGAATCATCGCGGTCTTTGCCTTTAAGGCAGTACGCGTGTGATAGTGAAGAAAGGTGCACTGAAGTGTACTGGGTCGTTCACTTGTTTGCGGGCGGGCGCGGTGGGTGGCAGAGTCGTTATGTTGCAGATTGATATGGCCTTATAGGGGTACCTTCTTTGGAAAAGGCGCTACGCCTGAACGGGGGCGCGGAATCCCGTCCAGCGGGATGTATTAATCCTACTCGTCTCAGTGACTTATCGCGCCAGCTGCCTCTAAATTCTTGACTTCATTCATTCATCTTTCACCTTAGTTTGCCGTCGCAGTACTGCTGGCATTAGACCATAGACAAAATGGAACCATATCCAGCTGGCAGTTTTCTATTCATTACTTGCCTGCACTGTGTCTTTGTCTAATGGGGTTGACCTCGGGGGTTGGCTAGACAATGATGATTCGTCTGCGATACCGAGCGAAACGGATCATCTGTGCTTTGGAGTGTATTCCTTTCCCAATGTTTGTTTTTCTTTGCTTCTAATTGAAAACGATGCGAATCTCAGCAGGGCTCGTATGATTTCGCCCATAAAATGACATCATTACTAATGGTACAATAAATGCTGAAATAGGTGTAAACCTCATTTTTTTAACAAATAGCGTCTAAATTATTTGCTTTATCGACAACACAAAAAGTCAAGTCTACCAAAATAGCCTCGGGTCGCTCTATATGACATTAGGTTTATCACAACCCGCTACTGTATCTATTGTTGATAGTGTCGCAAACAATCGGGGTGCTGTCAAGACGGTCGTGAGGAGCCCAGTCGTTTCCTGCAGTAGTGCTCGGTCTGTGGCCCGAATAGAAACCTGATCCAGAAACGCAATCAGGGCAGAAAACGCCGCAGGTGGGCTGAATTACCTGCCTCCTTACACCGTTCCGACTGATTGCGACGATATCAGCTCTAATCGTGATAGAGCGCTACAAGGTCTGCCCCGCATGGATGACCCATGAAACCCTCGCGATTTGGCCCATGTTCGTCAGTAAGTAATTTTCAGAATTCAGTTCTTAACCTGCTCGATTAGCTTTACTACTGACTGCATCACTAACTTCAGTTATGATTTATTAAACTATACCAAAGAAATAGAGACAATTCAAGCACTTTCACTATTCGAAGAGGAGGCTGTCTACGTTGTTTAATAGCGATTCCATCCGTTGTTTCCTCCATGCATTCCGTAAGGAGGTCTGCCACCGTTTCCTCCATTTCCACCGGGCGGATTCCATCCACCATTTCCTCCAGTCCCTCCGTGCGGTGGTCTGCCACCAGGTCTTCCGTTCCCTCCGAAAGGAGGTCTGCCTCCGAGTCCTCCATTTCCACCGGGCGGATTCCATCCACCATTTCCTCCAGTCCCTCCGTGCGGTGGTCTGCCACCAGGTCTTCCGTTCCCTCCGAAAGGAGGTCTGCCTCCGGGTCCTCCATTTCCACCGGACGGATTCCATCCATCGTTTCCACCATCCATTCCGTGCGGTGGTCTGCCTCCGGGTCCTCCATTCCCTCCGTGCGGAGGTCTGCTACCGAGTCCTCCATTTCCGATGGATGGATCCCATCCACCGTTTCCTCCATTACCTCCGTGAGGAGGTCTGCCTCCAGGTCCTCCATTCCCTCCATGTGGAGGTCTGCCACCAGGTCCTCCGAACGGTCCTTCCATGTTAGAGCCTGGTCCTCCAAAGTGATTGTTCCCAAAGCTCGGCCGAGGTCTACCATTGCCGTTCGGTTGATATCCTCCATTTCCAAAGCCTGGTCCACCGAATGGTGGACCACCCATAGGGGGTCCGTAAAATTTGGAAGAGTCAGAAGAATCATCATGTCTTCTTCGTTGATTTCTTCCTCCGTGCTCGTGCGAGCTCTGAAACATGGAAAACATCTCATTTGAATTATAAGTAGCTTTTTTAAAACAAAATTTTTGGAGCAAAATTTTTTTGATTTGTGAAAGACTCAAAAGTAGACACTTTTCGGTGTCGGTTTTCGGGGTATCTGTACTGTATGGATATACATCTATGTGGTATGCCATACACTTTCTGACTTTCAATCAGGTTCATAGAGGCACTTGAATGGCTTTCTCCCTCCCATGACAGCTGGCTTCACGGAGCATTCAACGGAATTCGCACTCCCCTTTTTTTTCTCCATTCCCCTGGATCTTCATCGTCCCCTGATACGAGCAATTCTGCCACATTTCGCCGAGTACAACCCTTTTCTCCTACAGCGACCGAATACGGACCCTCTGTTGGAGAATTCCAGCATATAGCGCCCATTGTTGCCTACAACGAGACCGTGAGGATTACTTGGAACTGAAGGATTGTTTGGAACTGGAGGATTGTTGAAACTTCTTCTGTGCTAAAAAGCATGAACCACTCCACTGCAATTTTAACGTACTGGCCTGGTACTTAGGAAGTATATTTCGCAACTGCAAATCAACACATGCCCAGGATGCGAGGGGAGGGGGGGTCACTCAATAGCCACATTTTAAACAGGCGCGCGAGGACAATACGATCCCCCTCATTCTAACCAATCAGATTCCCCAACTTAATCCTGCCCCCGTTTTTTCAAAATTTACCCCGAAATTTCCTACTTATTTACCCAAAAATCAGGAAAATCTAAATACGACCCTCCCAAAAATGATCAAATACGACCCCCCCCCCTCTCCCTTTACAACGTCCATGAAGCGAGAAAAATCAACTATCAAAATAAATTTTCTCAGCCCAAATACGACCCCCTCCTGGCGACCAAATACGACCCCCCCTATTGGGGATTCCCCAACAACGATGTGCCCTGCTGCATACGCACCCCTCGCCCCTTGTAGAACTGCATGCGTTCATTGAACGGAGTAATATTTTCTTGCGCATGAAGTACGGATCTTATTCAGATAGAAACATCCTGGAAGGATCCAGTAAGTATGTTTGAGTTGTTTTTCACGGGAGATTTTTAATTCCAGTAGATAAACATCATTTGAGTCCTCATAACGTACCGTCCGAGGGATCGCTGCTACTACAGCAATTACGACAAAGATTGTGTACAGTTGCATCTGAAATACAGCTGCTATACTCCATACATAATACTACTTCCAAGGAACAGACGGAAATGAGTAGAGGGCTAATAAACCCCTGACAAAAAGCACAATAAGCGCACAAGAGGGTGCCAAAACTAGCACGAGGTCAGAACTGGAAATAATGCTGCCTATGTGCTGTTAGGGAGAGTTTTATATTGTTATTATGGCATCACGTCATAGATGTGTGCCAGTTCGCCCGTGCTTATCAAAAACTCCACAATAAACTCTTTGTCATGAGTGCACATTTAGTGTTTGAGCGTAGGGATGATATTACCAGAACAGCTCTGAAAATGTTTAGTCAGTGAGCCATACAATTCACGGTTTTTTTGAATGACTCCTTTTGAGCGTCCAAATGAAAATGATTAACCACATCCCAATAGTAGCAGAACTGCAGTGGTGATTCATTCTGCAGTTCCTGAAATCCTCCCCTTTGGCAGTCTCCATGAGTTAGCGCCTTGCAAAGTTTCCTGCAAGGGCACGTTTATATTGAAGGCGAAGCTCATGATCACTCATAATTATCCAAGGCCTTCGTTGGAG